GCCCGTGAGAGCTGACGCGGGGGTGGGGACAGGTTCTTCAGAGCTGCGTCTGTCCACAGAGCTGGGCTGAGATCCCACTCTGCCCTAGGCTGGATGGCCCCAGGAAGTCGCTCAGCCTCTGAGCCCCAGCCATCTCTTTTGTAAGAACGGGTTAAGAGGGGCCACTGCAAGGTATTAGGGAATTCTATCCCTTCAGCAGGGGTCCTGACCCAGCAACCTCGCCCAGGGCAGCCCCTGAAGCCTGCCTCTGCCACCAGGCCCCAGGCTCCCCGAGGAACTGGACCCTGAATGCCCTCCCTGCTGCCCCAGCCCACACCTGCACTGCTCTTTCTTAGGGCCAGTGCAGGGCAGGGAAGGGACTCTGAGGTCAGGGAGCCCTCAGAGCAGCTGCTTCACCAAAGGATGAGGGGCAGTGCCAGCTGCCCAGGCCAGCAGCCTTGAAGCCCACCTCCCAGCACATCCCCGGGGGATGCCCAAGAGGATCTGGGTCAGAGAGGTCTCACAAATGCAGCCTGGTCTCCCCTTCAGAGAGGCACAGGGGGCAAAGCATAACAACAGCAGGAGACGCACTGTTCAAACTCATCTAACCCAGTGACACCCAGACGCCCCTGGGAGACCTGACGGCATCCAGGAGCCTCCCAGGCATGTGGGGAGGAGCCCCAGCCTGGCGCTGGAGTCCTGCCCCAAGCTGGCTTGGGCCCTGAGCTCTGAGCCATACCGTCAGACCCCACGAAAGGCGGCCCTGTGAGCAGGTTACAAGTCGTGGAGAAAGCGCTTCACACCCACCCGGGCAGGGGGCGCCTGGCACCCATGTCCCCTCCTCACACCAGCATTCCCATGGCCTCCTAGGATGGCGCCCAGGCCTCCTGCCCCCTTGCTGACCGTGCCGCTGTTTAGGGCATGAACCACTCCATCTCCACTGGAGTCCCCAGCCCTCCAGGCCACGCAGTCCCAGGGTGTCCGAAGAGGAGTCGTTCCTCCCAGAGGTGACTCGGAGAGCACACAGTCCCTGAGGCTTCGCCCGGGACGGGAGAGAATCACAGCCCTGTTTCCCGAGGGCACATAGACGTCCCGCGGGTCTGATGCCCCCTGCTGGAGCCGCGCGGTCAGGAGGGAGGGCCGCCTTGGCCCGCTCTCCACGGTCCTCGCCGAGCTCAGCATGGCTGAGTCACGCACTCCAACTCCGGATCCCCCAGAGCAGCTGCCTGGAGCCCAGCCCGTCCATGCAGCCAGCCTCTTGCACTGACCAGGCCACAAGAGCAGCAGGCCCATGCTGGGAGGAGGGAAGGCAGGACCCGCAGGTTCCCCCCGAGACAACCGCCTCCACAGCGCGAGAGGGGTTTTCACAGGTGCCATCTCATTTGGGGGAAGGGTCGGTGCCCGCTTTGTGGGTGGACACCGAGGTTCAGAGACCACATTATGCCCAGGCCACACCACCAGGGAGTGGTGAGAGGACATCATCTGCCTTCCAAGTGTGTTGGGGACATGGTCCCAAGCACGGGATCCCAGCCTGAGTTGAGCGCACGGCCAGGGCCGTACATGGTCAGCCGTGCCAGCCCCACGCTCAGCACTCCACATGCACGACCTCAGTTTTCACCACATTTACCTCATTTACTCTTTAGCGAACAAAGCCCATGAGGGAGTTACAGCTGCCCCCACTTTACAGTTGCAGCACGTGAGGCTTGGAGAGACCAAGGGCAGGGCAGGATTGCCCACTGGGTGTATTCACACCTACACTGTCACCTTGGGCCGGTGTGACCCTCACTGTCTTGCCAATGGGTTTCAGCCCCAGCCAAGTTCACTATGGAATCAATGTGACCAAACAAATGACAGTAGAATGTTCTTGGGGTGGAGGGGTTATACCCAACTTTATTTCCAGGTGGCAGGTCAGTCACTAGAATCCCGTCCACTCAGAGCAAGTCTCTAGGCAGCAAGCCGGTCTCTGCCTCTGGGCCTCTCTGCCCCTGCAGCCTGTCTTAGCCTCTGTCCTCGGCGCTGCCACCCCTCCAGCCTCTGCTCTCCTGCAGCCTTGCAGCCATGCCACCGTGTCGCCCAGAGCACTGGGAAGGGCTCTTTATAGAGTCAATAATGACGTACTGCCACACGTGTGTAGTGAGCTAGCCAACCAGGGCCAGGTGAGATCCTAGCCACAGGAACCTTCGCTTTATCCACACTCACCCTACCATGAGTAAGGGGTTAGCCACAATCAGGGGAGGGGTCACCTTGGATGCACAAGACCTGGGCTCTTGGAGGTAGTCACTTGGGTGCTGAGCACAGCTCAGAAGTGAGCCCTGGAGATGAGAGGCTGGGCATTGTCCACCCACTCCTGCCCCCACAGGTGGGCCCTACCCCCATCCTTCCTGCTGCCCTGTGTGGGCTGATGTCCTTGGCTTCCAGGATTGCCAGACAGAGGAGCCGTGACTTGGGGGGAGCTTAGGGTGCGCACTGCTGAGAGGTATGGTGTAGTGCCAAGAGCTCCAGGGGCCCACTGAGCGACAGCACGTGTCCTGGCCCAGGGAACGCTCCCCTCCACCTGTCCTCACACAGACCTCTCCAGTCAGGCCTCAGAGCTAGGGTGCCATGCCCATGTCCCTCCCACTGGCCCAGCATCCCTGCAGGGAGCCCTCAATGGGGTGTGGGGTGCACCATCCCCCCAGTGACCATCGGACAGGCAGCTGGCTGCCCTGTGTCCCCACCCCTGAGCCCCATGAGCTGCCTGCACCCCCTCCCCTTACCCCTTGCTGCTTCCAGCACCTTGTCCCCCTTCTGAGACTGCAGGGCTTGTGGCCAACGGCCGAGTCTTGTGGGCTGTCTTGAGAGGCGGTGGCCTCCACAATGACTCCCCAGGCTCTGGACACAGGGTTGGGTGGCAGAAGCCATCCTCAGAATCGCCACAGCACACCTCCTGGAGCCCGACCCTCTGTGTGGGGTCAGAAGAGATGAGTCAGAACAGAACGCTGGCCAGGCAGGGCTCCTGTCTCCTTCTCTAGGGGCGAGTGCGGCACAGAGCTGCCCAGGGCCAGCCTGTCTGTCCGCGCAGGCCAATAGCCCTTTGAGAGCCTCATTTGATCTTAGAAAGACTCGCTCTTCTGCTAAAGGATGGAGGGGGCACATTTCTTTCAAAGCCCAAAGGGCGCGTAGGACCCCAGCATCTGGAGAAGAGGCGACACAAACTCCAGGCCAGGGCTTGGCGGCCAGGACCACAGCAGGCCCGGGAGAGGAGCCGCCACTATAGCAGAACCAGGTAAACGCCAGGAGCCTGTCCTGTTCTGAGCATCTTACCTTCATGCCCTAATTGGAAACCCACAACAAATGAAGAGATTCCCTTGCAGATGGGGAAACTGAGTCTCAGCGGGGTTCACTAATTTGTCTGATGTCACACAGTGGCAGGTGGAAGAGCTGCAGCTTGAAACCAGGTAGCCAGGCTCCGGGATCCACGTTGTCATCATTTGGGTGACCATACAGAACTGGGGCCTGGTCACTAGCAGTGTCCCAGTACCTCTGATGTAGCCTGAGCTGAAGGGACCCTCAAAAAGTTGCACCTCCTGGCTCACCCTGGAGGCATCTTAGAACACGGGGGCCCCCAAGCTAAGAGGCCCCTTTGCCTGCCTTCGAGGGTGGGAGCGCTCAGTGCCTACAGACCCCTGTCTCCAGTGGGAGCACGTAGGACTAGGTCCCTGAGCTGATTCAGCTCCAGACAGAGATCTCTGGGACCCTCTAACAGGTGACCCCAGGGCCCCGGGCAGTGGAGGGGCAGGGGTGCTGAGCTCAGGAACACAGAGGGGGGTGCCAGTGACCACACAGTCGCCTCATGTACCCGGAGAGAGCAGCCCCAAGCTCGGGGTTTCAAGAGCTTGAGACACACCAAGTCTGGGATCCTCAGTGAGGGCTTTGCTGAGCCTGTGGGGCAAGGGCCCTCTGAGTCCCCAGGAGGGTTTGGGGAAGGCAGCGGTTCCCCGGGTACCCACACCCCCAGAGCACAGGCCAGGGAACCCGAGGTGGGGGCGGGAGGGGGCCTGGTGGGAGATGAGGCTGAAGCGCTGGGGCCTGTCACCAAGAACTTCCAAGCCCAGTCTGAGGAGCAAGACACCCAGGAGCTATGGGCAGCTCCCGGGGGAACCTGCCCTGCTTTCCCAAGAACAGAGCTGCAGGGAGGGGTGGGCATGCCGGGCTCCTGGGCATCAGGAGAGGATGCTGGGGAGGACAAGGAGGCCAGAAGAGCCGCCCCTGAAACCACACGTTCAGATGGCAGCAGCTGGGTGCGGGGAGCTGCTGGCAGTCATGGAGCAGGGAGACACGGCATCACAGCAGAGGGTGGGCAGGGGAAGCTGGTCATCACGGCAGATGAGGGCACAGGGGAGGCTACAGGCAGGCAGGCCAGCGAAGCACCCCAGGGCTGTCCTCTCAAAGGGCACTGAGCTGGAACTGGGCCCACGTGGGGGAGTAAGGGTGCAGCGGGCCACCTGCCTCAGAGCCCCTGCCTCCCACAAACCCCCTGGAGCAAACTGCCCGGGGCAGCGGGGTCCATGGACCCCAGGAGGCCATGCCCCACCGAAAGCCCGGGCAGCAAGGCTCAGGGAACAGTGCTCGGCACCTGCCAGCTGCTCGGCCATGGCTCCTGGAGGCCACGGACCTGGCCACCCTTTACCCCAAGGGCCCAGCTGAGGGGTGTGACCGCCACCCGTACAACGAGGTGGAAATCCAGAACCCTCTTGCCCAGAAACACAAACCCCACCGGCAACCTCTGCTCCTATTAACCCCACAACTTGTGGCCCAGGAATTGATCCCAGAGCTCGGGCCTGGGGTCAAGTTGAGCCCCAGTCCGACCACCCAGGAGCCTGAGCGCATCACCCAACCCTCCTGACCTGCAGCTCACAGCCCTCAGGACACGGGGCAGGGCAGCTGCCCCGAGTGTTTGGGGATCACGTCTGTGTGTGGTGGGCGCTGGATGTAGGCTGGCGCAGACCTGCCCGTCTATCCACCTGTAGCAAGGGTCTTACCTCCACCTCCAGTCTGGGAACTGTGCGATACAGCTTCTAGTCTGTTCCACCTCTGCGCCTGCACATGCTGGTTCTTCCTGCCGGGATGGCCCCTCTCCTTGTTTGCCTTGACAACTCAGATTAAATGGCGCTCCCTGCCCCCAAACAGAAATGGCTTCTCCTCCTCTGACACCCGGGTGCTGTGTCTCCTCATCCGCCATCACCACCCTGACCACAGTGGGTTTCAAGGGCTTACGTCCAGCTTGGTCAGGCTGTCAACAAGGAAAAACATGTTCAGGCCACAGTGCTTGCGATAGAAACACCCAGAAGCCCACACCACACCAACCCTCGGGATCAGTGGCTGCGGAGTGCGGCTCACTGTCCATCACTAGGAGGGTCTCACGTGTGTCTGCAGTGCGCTGAACATCCTTCCCCACCCCACTCTCTCAACCAGACCCCCACTGGGCCCAGAAAGACCCTCCTATCAAGCTGCAATGTTTTAAATGTAAAAAAATCAATTTGGAAATTTTATTTCTTTCTAATGCTGACATGGCACTTAACTAACAATATGCCCAAGGCCATTTTGAGTGCTTGACTTGAATTAATACTTTTAATCTCATGCAACAATCCTGGGAGCAGAGGTACAGTAACTATCCCCATCCTACAGATAAGGAAACTTAGGCAGAGAGAGAGAGAGATCACGTGACATGCTCAAGGTGGCATGGCTGTGAGTGGCTGAGCCTCATTTGAGCCCAGTTCAGCAGGGTTCCAGTCACATGCTGGGTACCACGGTGACATGTGCAGATGAGCTAAAGGCCCACCCCACCCTGGCCCTTCCTGCTTCTGTGTCTTTGGACACCTGTTCCCTTCTGCCTACACTGCAGTTTCAGGGCAGATCCATGTGCACGGTTCATTCTTGGCCCCCCAGGGGCTGGCACAAAGGAGGAGCTTAGTGAATACTTGCAGAAAGAATAAGTGTTTGCTAGCTGGCTGGCTGGATAGGTGGGTGAATTGATGAATGACCAGATGGAGGGAGAAAGGAAGGGTGGGTGGGTGAACGGATGGATAAGTGGGTGGGTGGATGGGTGGTGGGTGTGTAGAAAAAAGAATGTATGGATGGATGGATGAATGAGTGAATGGGTGATGGGTGGATGGATGGACTGGTGGGCAGGTGGTAGGTGGGTGGATGGATCTATGGATGATGGAGGAAAGGATGGATGAATGGATGGGTGGGTGGGTGGATGGATGGGTGAATGGCTAGGTAGATGAGTGGGTGGAGGATGGATGGAAGAAAGGATGGGTGGGTAGACGAATGTGTGGATGGATGGATGGGTGGGTGGGTGGGTGGGTAGGTGGATGGATGCATGCTTATAAGTCTGAGTGAGCCCTAGTGGGCAGGCAGAGTCAGCACCCTGTGGAAGGTCTGACACCCAGTGGGTGCTGTGTGTATGTTGCAGAGCAAATGAAGAAACAGATTGCATTAGCACACTTTGGGCTGCATATCGATCATGTAGGGATTAATCTGTTGCTGTCTTTCCCGCAGGCAGCCATCATCCCAACCATTATAAACAATATTAGGAAGGACCCCAGGTGTGCTTCCCTGCAGGAGCCCTGCTTTGGGACATTCCCGCCTCTGGGCCCCACGGCAGCCCTGGCCTGGGGCTCTGCCCAGGGCCCTCTTAGAGGTGAGACACCGGAGCACAGGGAGCCGCAGAGCAAGCAAGGCCGGAGCCTGGGTCACTCTGAGGTGCCCCTGCGGCATTCCCTGATGCCCTGCGCACGTGCATGTGTCTGTGTGCACACATGTGAGTGTGCACACAGGGATGTGTGAATACTGTGGGTAGGGCAGCTTCGTGTCACCCACACGGCCACACAGCACTCCGAGTCGGAGGGGCCCATTGTTCAGCTTAACGCTCTGCTGCTGCCTTGAAATTATCAATAATTTTTTAGTAATGGGTCTCAATTTTTATTTTGCAGTGGGCTCTGAAAATTCCCTCGCTAACTTCTCATCCTAGGTGGCTAAAACCAGGGGAGCTGGGGTCAGTCCTGCCCTCCTGCCTGCGTGACCTTGTATGGGGCATCACCTCTCCCTCCTGCCTCTCTGCCCATGAGACACATGCAGTGCTGTGCCAAGGATCAGCCAAGCTGAGGCCCCCGATGGCCCTCCCTGCTAGCCTGCCCAGGCCCAGAACCAGCCACCCCTTGCCTGCCACCTCCTCACCCGCCCCGTGCACAGGCTCTGACTCCATTCACACCAGGAGAGAGCAATGAGTCGGGAATAACAGATAATGCTATTAGGGGCCAGAACAGCTCCATCCTCCCAGCATAGAGAAATGGGGCTGTCAGGCGAGGGGACCTCAGGCCGCAGGCCATGATTAACGGGATTGGGAGGCCCATACGCTGCAGCAGAAGGTGCCAGGAGATGATTGCTTACAAAATGTACCAATTACTGCCGTGCCTGCCCGCCCACCTCCACTGCCAGGCAAATAAACACATCAGCTGCCAGCCTGCACCAGGCCAGGCTTAGTGAAGGCCCAGGGGCTGCAGGCATGGGTCAGAGGGCTGGGAAAGCCACCTCAGAGGGTGCAGGAGGCCCATCCTGTCCCCACGAACCCTCAGCAGCAGGTGGACAGTCAGCATCTCTGCCCAGGGAAATGTTTAAATAAGCAGGGATACAGAGAGAAGGGCATGGGCAACTGTGGGACCCCTCACCCCAGAAATCTTCATGGAAAAGGCTACCCCCACTAAGGCTGGGAGATGACACGCTGTGCCTCCTGGCCCTGCAGGAATGCAAGCAGGTTACCAGAGAAGACCACAGAGGCAAGCAGGGCCGGAGCCCCCGGCTGCCCAACGCTGGCGTAATCACGCTCACATAAGGGCCCCATCTCCTCCAGCAGCCGCCCCCCCAGGACCCACCCCTGCGGGCCCCAGCACAGGCAACCCCTGTGATGACAGCAGGTAGAAGTGAGTTAACAGCTAGTGGGCGGAGGCAAGAGCCTATGGGTCCCGGACACAGATATTCATCCTGCTTGACTGTTTTTGAATGTCAACAAAAAATGCCAAGATGAACGATGAATAAAAATATTCACAGAATTAGTAGGAGAGCAGCTCTCCCCGGATGCTTGAGGGGGAAGGGGTCTCGGGGCATCAAGGGACTCGAGCCGTGGGACTTTCTGGCCCAAGCACCCCGAGACCAGACAAGTCCCCTCCCCCACCCCAGTCACAGGGATCCCAGGACAAGCCACAAGGAGTCACATGTGGGCCACCAGCTCTGGCAGCGAGGACGGGCACTGGCTGCTCTTATTGAGTGCTTCATAGGTTTGATCATGACCCACTGAGCTTGGAACCAAACAGCTTTGATTGTCACTTTGCACATGAAGAATCGGCCTCAGAGGCGTGAAGTGATGCATCCAGGCCACGGGCCAGGACTCACCAGAGCAGTGTTCTGGGTCCAAGTCTTATGAACTCCAGAGTCTGTTCTCTTACACACATGCCCCAGGGGCTGTAATGTCACCACAGGGATGACCCTGGCGGCAACGCTGGAGAATGAGTGCCGTGGGACACAGATCAGCAGCAGTTCACTGTCACCGCGTAGCAAACCTCCCAGAATAAAACAGCTGAAACATGGTCACTTACTGTGCACAAGCCTGTGAGTTGGTCACTGGATCAGGGCTCAGCAAGATGTGCGTCGCTGCTCCACATGACGCCATCCGGCTCACAAGTGCATTAGCTGTCTGCCAGCTTCACTCAGTGTCTGGCTTTCGCCCAGCTGTCAGCAGGAGGCCGCTGGGCCTTCATCCCACAGGCTAGCCCAGACTCATTCCACCATGGTGGCTCCTGGGTCCCCAAGGGCTGCAGAACAGGACGCGTCCCGACACTCAGGCACTTTTCAAGCCCCTTTCCTGTCACATTTGCAACTGTCCCATCTACCAAAGCAGACAGAAGAGCCGAGACCAGACTCGAGGGTGGAAAGTGACCGCCTCCTGATGGGAGGAGCTGCACGGTCACGTCGCAAAGGGGCAGGCGCGCAGGTGAGGAATTCTGTGGGCAGTCCTGGCCCATCACGATAGAGGAGACAGAAAATAGCCTCACCCAGGGGACTCTGGGAAGGCTTCCCAGACATGGGACATTTGCACTGGGTGGGCCTAAGGCAGAGCAAGATCAGCATTTACTGGCACCGCATGGAAGGGTGAGAACTCATGGCAGCCTTTGTGTTCAAACCACATACAAAATAGACACATGGCATAGGGGATGCTGTTTGCATTAGAATCGTGAGGTACACAAGCAGCTGTACATGGCCGTCCTGTACAACGTCCCCAAGACTCTGCTGACGGCGCAGACATCTGTCCTGTGGACTAATCCAGTGTCCAGCCCGAGAGAAGTAAGCCGTCTCTGCATGACAAACAGAAGCCCTTGTGGTTGCCACAACCCCTCCCCTTCAGGTGGGTGGCTTTGCCCCCCGCTGAGCTTGCTCACACTCCACAGATTGACGTGAGCCATTAGGATCCACACAGGTGGCCCCAGCTCCAGCACATAATCTGATCTGTGTGGCTTTAGAAAGATCCCCTTTGGGGGCAGTATGGGTCAGCCACTGGCTGTCTGCGCCCCTAGGCAGTCGGCCGCCAACTGCAAAGGGCAGGCAGATCTCCCTCCCGGCACCCTAGGAGCATGCCTCCTCCCTTCCGCCACCTCAGCAGCTGCATACCGCAAGCTGGTGGCCGGCAGCCTCCACAGCCTCTTATCCCGGCAGCCAGCCCTGCCCACCCAGGTCAACAGGTTCCTGGGAACCACACCTTTGCTGGCCCTCCCAGGACACCACAGACCCGCTGCCCACAGCTGGAACCCACACCCTCAGCTGGCCCTCTGTCATCCCACCTTCAAGGGTCAAGGCCAGGGAGGCACCTGACCCTAGAGTCAAAGTCATAAAACCTCAGGGCAGAAAGAGCCGTGGCACAGTCTGAGGCCCACCTTGTCACAAACAGCAGCACCCACAGAGAGGGGAGGGGACTCGCTTGAAGCTTCTGAGGAGGGAGGCCGAGCCGGGGCTCTAGAGCCTTGGTTTTTAACTGCCTGATTCTAAGCCACTTCCTCAGGGCCACCAGCTCCAGGAAGCCATCCCTGATCTGGCCCCCATTTTCATTGCCCATCTGTGTCCAGCAGGGTGGCCACGGTCTCCCCTCAGCCATCTCCCCTCCCCAGTGTCAGGGTCCTTATATGTAGAATAGGCACAACACCCTCCCCTGCTGGCCCCGAGGACAGTGAGGTGAGGCTGATGGGAGGACACATGAGGTGACAGACACAAAGCCCTGCTGTGAACTGGAGGGGCCCCCGTGACCAGTACGCGATGGTGAGAGCAAGGAAGATGGTTCCGGAAAGGTAAGCCAAGTCCCTTTTCTGCCTGGAGGCCAGAAGCAGTGGCGCTGCCTCGATAAAACCATCAAAGCATGGCTGCCCCACATCTGGGTTCACATAGCTTCTGACCCCTTGGATGCCTCCCACACACATCTCCACAGCCAGATGGGGCACCACCCCTCCCATGGACTCCTCCCTGGTGCTCACCTCCCTGCACACGCAAAGTCCCAAGGCCTGGTCTTTTCACAGGTGTGGCACCTACTGGGCCCACAGTGTGCACCTTGGAGGTGGGAAGCTCATCCTCTTTGTCTCCATACATACCCCCCACACGCATGTACTTATGCATGTGCATGCACACACACACTCACCCATTCACATGCTGGCACACACCAGTGCTTGTACACCGGCACAGAGGTGCACAGTCTCACACACGTGCACACATACACATGTTTGCAACCATTCTGTTTGCACATGTGTATACACAAGCGCACACCCACGTGCACCCTCACACTCAAATTCACAAGCACACACACCATTCACTCCCTGCCTGGGAAGCGAGGGGAACACAGTTAGACTAAAATCAGCCCCCACTGGCAGGAGGGATGGGAGGCATACTTGTTGGAAGTCACCATTGCTTGCACTTGGCTTGAGTTATGATAGCAGATTCTCTTGCAATTTCAAATAACTACCAATCAAAAAAGAGTGGACACTTTTTCATATTACCAGACACCCCAGGGATCAGGCTGGGAAGGTGTCTGGAATGGGAAGCAGAGGCCCACCTGCCCTTCTAGGCTGCCTTGATCAAAAAAAGGGAGGCTGAGCACTCTTAGCAGTCCTCCAGGAGCATTTGTTGAGTGACTGCATGACTGAGTCTCCTGGGGCTGCCACTGAGATCAACCCTCTGCTGCAAACTGAGTCCTGGAGAGCATCTGATGGGCCAGCCAGAGTGGCCTCCCTGGGGGAGGAGCCACTGGAGAGAGAGCCCTCCAGCAGAGCAGCCCTAAGAAGCCAGCCGCAGGAACCACGTCAGCTGAGTGGTGATGGGCCAGTTTGGGAAGCAGCGCATCCGGGGTGCGGGCCAGGGGGCCATGGGAGGGAGAAGGGAGGGTCCCAGGCGAGGGGGAGGAAACGGGGGCAGTCCTGGACTCAGCTCTGGGAGAGCCCTGGCGGCTCGCCACCCGCTTCTGAGTAGTGTGTGCAGGTCTCCTGGGGCAAAGAAAATGCACGCAACGGTCCTGTACCCAGCTGAGGATGCAATGAGGTGACATCGGAGAGGAGTCAGCACAGCTTGACACAGCACCCCACTCAGATCTGGCTCCATGTTAAGAAGGAAGTGGGAGTGGGGGGCTCAGCTGTTCTCTGGAGGAAGGGCAGGATGCGGGCCTTGCAAAGCCAGGAGCTGGGGCTGGGGGTCCCCAAGGAGCCCATGGGAGACCAGGGGTCAGAGGGGACAAGGAGAGGCAGAGAGGCCATTCAGGGAGAGAGCTGGGACTGGACAGCTGTGCCCCTGAGGTCTAGAAGGGATGGGCTGGCCCTGGGATGCCCTGGAATCCCACCCAGGAAACAGGAGCCTGCAGGAAGGAAGCAGGCAGGCACCCAGCCCCAGGCCACCCCGGGCACCAGGGCATGGCTGGCACTGGGAGGAGGAGCAGGCTCTCCCAGAGAAGAGAGGCTCCCCGCTGTGAAGTGCCCACCCATCCTCTCTGTCCTCGCCCCGCCCTCCCACCTGGCACTCACCACCAGCTAGGAAATCCTGTTTGCTTGCTTGCTGGGCCCATCCACTTCGGTCCTCGTCCTGTTTATCCTGCCCACCGTGGCCTGCCCTCCCCAGCTCCTGTGTCCATGCCCAACATGCAGGATTCGATGGCTAAAGACAGCTCCAGGCCCCTTGGACAGCTGGTGGGCAGGGCAGTGCCATCAGAGGAGGGGAAGGGCCAGGAGCCGGGAGCAGCAAGCTCCCAGCCAGGGGCGACTGACCTGCGCTGTGTGCAGGCCGAGGCACCTAGTCACCATCGCAGGCCCCAGGACAAAGGCCGCTGAGATCGGGCTCCAGGCTCCTGGTCTCACCGGCTGGTCTGCAGTCAAGGGAGGGGACTGCATGGCAGGCAGATGCAGCAGCTTAGATGAAGGCCTGGAGTGGGGGGCCCAGTCCCCACAGGGTAGCACAGGTCCCTGGGTAGATGATGCACCACTGGTCCTGCCTGCCAGCTTGGGGGGCTCCATGCCCAGCAGAGGTGGTGGGGGTGGCGGCCCCTCACCCCCTACCTCACCCCACCCCACAGCAGGTGTGTCTGACCAGGAAGAAGAAACAAAGGGGGGCAGGTGAGCCACAGCCCTTCATCTCAGCCCCAGCCACACAGTGCTTTCTTCTCAGAGCGGGACTCCAGCCGCTGCTCTGAGCCCTTGCATCCTTGAGGGGCCCCTCAAAACTTAGGCCCAAGTGGAGGGAAGGCCCCAGATAATTCGAAGGTGGGAGAAGGGAGTGGAGTGTGCTGCCTGTGGGCACGTGGCAGGAGCCAGATCAGAAGGAGGCTGGGGCGTCACATCGGAAGGCTGGTGGGGTGGGGTTGGTATGTGGCCTGTGGACAGTTAGGTCCAGGGGCCAGGGGCCCAGGGCCCAGGGCTACAGGTCGGAGGGGGGGCCAGACTCTAAGGCCATTCTCCTTGCCTTCCCCTGCCCAGCCACCTGGGCAGGAAGATGAAGCCGCCAGTGAGAAGCACACCTCTGGAGCCCCAAATCCTGCCAGTGCTCCGTGCTGACTCCTGCTGCCCACTAGCGTCACTGCGAACGCATCTGGCTGCCCTGGGAGCACTCACAGCAGCACTCAAACGCTATGGGAGCCCCAGGCCCCCCTCCTTCCGAATGTCACTTCCTGGAGAGCAGCCACAGCCACTCCTGCCCCCCCACCCCCGGTGACAAGGCCAGCGGCAGGACACAGCCTGCAGCACCCTTCCCAGTTCCAAGGCTCTCCCTCATGGGGCACAGCCAGGCTCTAAGACACAGACCCCACACCCAGGTGAGACCTCAGTGCTGGCACTAAGCATTCATCAAGCACCAGCTGAATGCACCATGAGCATGTTTGAGCCCCACACAACCTCGGCAGAGGGTGATGCCCCCGTCACACAGCGAAGGGCACAGGCTCCCAGAGGCAGCCCCTTGCTCCCCACGATCCTGCCTGCCCCCACCTCCCGCTGGCTGTGAGGGGAAATGCCGTGTCGCTCTGGGCTGAGGCACAGACTGGCCAGGGGTTGACCTTGCCGCTCTGCCTGGCCTTTGCAGGGCCCAGCATCCTTCCAGAGCTGGAGCCCCAGGCCTCCTGCAGCCACCGTGCGTGAGCAAGAAGCGGATCCGGTAATCGTCACGTCACCGGGACAGGCCTGCTAGGCAACAGCGAACCCAGCCTACGGACCCAGTGAGGGGAAGCTGGCTCCGAGGCCCTTGCTCCTCCTAGGGGCCCAACAGTCGGGACAGGCCTGCTAGGCAACAGCGAACCCAGCCTACGGACCCAGTGAGGGGAAGCTGGCTCCGAGGCCCTTGCTCCTCCTAGGGGCCCAACAGGGAGGCCCGAGGCTGCTCCCCAGCTGCCCTCGCTCGGCCTCCACACCCGGTAAATGG